GTGCCTTCACTGTAGAAAGAGCAAGGCTCTGTCTCTCACCATTCAGGAAGGCGAAGTCTTCCTCTTCCGAAAAACAAACAGGATCATGCAAGACACTTGGAACCTGTGACCCAGCCCAGCTGATGCTACAGAAGGGCTGCCCAGAAAACATTCATTCATGAACAACGTTGCAGTTACTAAAAGCAGTTTTGTTCAGACTGGAGGCAAACAGACCTTTCTGAAAGAGGCAAAGCAGGGACTTGAATAGGGTCCTTTTTGAATCCCAAGTGAGTGCTCCAGCCACCATGCTACAGAGTCAAATCTCTTTTTGCCTTCCCGCTCCTCTCTCCTTTTCTGTTGGGGCTGTTCCACTTTGTATAAAGAATCAGCTATTCCTACTAAACATAACACTCCAAAGCAAAATCTGAACCCAGGTCTTCAGTATTCCAGGTGAGCATCCTAGCTACCAGGCTGTTTTGCCTTTCTTCTATACCCCACTCCCCACACACACACCTGGGCCTGATCCACCCTGCACAGGTTTGACTTTAATTCATTATTCTCCCACAAAAAAAAAAGTCTTCTCAAAAAATTTCTAACCAGCTCTAGGCTACCCTACTTTTCACATCACTTCTTGTCTCCTCTCTGTGACACACAAGCACACACCCTGCGCAGCTTGTGGCCGTGAAAGACCCCAATAGACTAAAGGGTTTTCAAACTTCACCACAACCACCATCCAACAATGAAAATTGCTGCACAATCCCAGGAGGGGAGCTGAAGCCTGAGACCTATCACCCTGGGTGAAAGAGGCAAATCAAAACCCAAGCCCCACTGAGGGATGAGTGTGTGTGGAAAAGGGGCTGTGCCCCAGGCAGCGAGCCCGGAGCTGATAGGCCACTTGCTCCCTGAAGACAAGCCATCAAGACAGTGCCGGGCAGCATGAGTGGGCTTTTCAAAGGTAGGGTTACCCCAGCCTGGTACCCCACCTAGCATGGCATCCAGGGGCATCAGCCCTCTCCCCACCATGCCACTGACATGGGGGGGGTCCTTTGGAACAAAGCTTATTGTGCCACTTCACCGTCTTTTAGCTCCTCTCTGCAGTGCCATGGGGAAGGGGCGATGGGAATGCGCTGTGCTGAGCTGCTGGGTGGGGATAATGCGCTCTCCCCACTGGAGCACTCCTGGGAGGCTGCCGGAGAGGAAACCAACTAGGAGAGGCGGCCATGGAAGTGATTTTTTTTTTCTCCCTGTCTAAACCAACCTCCCAACTTGGAACTGCCCTGGGTCTCACCAGAGCCACTGCCGCAGCCACATGCTTTTCCCACCAGGTGCTGGGGCGCCTGGGCAGAGTGGCTGTTAACGTCTGGGCATGCAGCTCCGAACATTCAATTTGACAGGCATGTGCCACCGCACACTCTCCGATCCCCTCTGCAGGGCAAAATCCCGGACATTGTTTGCCAGATTTCACTTGTGTTGATGTAACCCCTGCCCCAAACTTCTCTTGCATACCACCAGTTGAGAAACACTGCTCTAGGGCATGTCTACACTAGGAAATTATTTTGAAATAACTTATTTCAAAATAAGTCCCAAAATGACAATTTCAAAATAGCGTGTCCGCTCAACGGGGAAGCCTCAAAATTAATCTGAGGCAGGTTCCCTTAATATGGATGTTCTACCTTGACTTAGAGCCCAGGAAGCTCTGGGGTGTAATTACTTTGAATGATTCTAGGGAGTAGTTATTTTGAAATAGTGGTACAAGAGCATCCACACTACTGCTATTGTGAAATAACTTTCAAAATAAGAGTCATTCTTTGAGGAAAGCAGGAATTATTATTTCAAAATAACAGGCTTGGTAGTGTGGGCGCTCTGCTTGTTATTTCAAAATAAGCGGAGTTATGGTGTAGTGTACTGTAGGGCCTAGCGTAAGACCTGGCTTGAGAGGCAAAGCCACCTGCCCACAGTTACCCAGCAGGCCAGCAAAAGAGTCATGAATAGGACCCAGATCAATAGGGTCCCAGTCCAGTGTTCTATCCAGTAGGCAACACTGCTGATATACTAACGATACAGTTCAATCATTCTCCAAACAAAGCCGTTTAAAACCAGTGTCTGAATAAACAATTTCTCTCTTTATTGGTCCCCTCACCCATCTAATCCCAACTGCACCAAGCAAACACAATCCCTACTTAAAGAAGAACTATGAACATGGCATGCTATTTGTCTAATGATGATATATAAAAGTTTGTGTGTATATTAGGGAGTAAGAGATGAAAGGAAGCATGTGAATATAAACAAAGACTTTGAATTTCTTTTTAAGTAGTATCTGCTATATGAAATAGGCAGCTAGATCACTAAATGTTCCCATTTTGTAAAGAGAAACAGCAAATGCATTCACTTTGCAAATTCAGCAACAGTATCCTGCCTATTCTATAAAAATAGGCAATATGCTTTCCCCTACATTGAAACATCCCCTTTCAAGGGCACCGAACAAAACCAGGTAGCAGACATTTATCAATTCTTCATAATAGGCATTTTTTCTGCAAGACACACTTTGGGTCTCATACTGCTACCGTCTCCACCTCCTGCCCACTTACAACAGAGCAACCTAATTGAGACTGAGTACAGCAAAGGGTATTACATACAGGGGCAACTCTGTCTATTTCCTCTGTGCTTCCAACAATACCACAACACTGCTTTGCAAATTTTTGGTTTTAAGGAAAAGAATATTGATGTTCTTCTCTCAAATGCACAAACTATCAGTCATTCCAGGCAGTATGTTTGGGGAAGGAGGGTTATGAAGCAAAAAGCTAAGTGACTTAAAGGTGAATTCCAACCAACAAGAGGACTGCAGCTAACCCTTTGGCTGGCACATCTTGAAGCTTCAGAAGGGGTTTGTTTGGGTTTTTTAAAACACAGAAAAGGGGGAGGGGGAAACAACATGTGCCCTTGTTCACTGTCAGTAACAGCCAGGCTCTGAGCATTGGCTCTGACAAGCGCAGTCCCCTTCAGAACTCTGTCTTTACAGTCTCATCTTTCATACCAGTTCCCAAATGATTATTCAGAACTTTTCCAACAATCCCTCCCAGCCAAAGATTTCATGCAAACCTCCACTCCCACCTTCAACACAAGAAGATAAATCTGACATTTCAGGGTTCCTCACAGAGGGTAGCTCATTAGCAGTGTCCATACCAAAGTCTGTGTTTCTAAATATTCTAATGTGAAAGTCCATAGTAACATATAACAATTACATTAAAAATGCATCTTTCACCCAAATAATCATTTAGTTTATCAAAACAAAAATGGCTTACAGTAGGATTTCTTCTTCCCAATCTGGGCTGTTTACTTTTGGCATTTGGACAATCATAGCAGGTTGGTCAATTTCATTTTTTTTTCCTAGGTTTCACTTTCCTTGGATGCTGGACCAGCACAATGAGGTTGCTAGGTTACTTTCCAGAGGCCATATTGTATCTCTTTTCCCCTCCCAACTTTATTTAGTTTAAAGAAAATCTGAAGTTTAAGTTTATAATGATCTGACCAGGTCTCTTCAAAATCTCATAATAAAACCTGTGTTTGTTTTATATAACTGAGAGTAACTTCTGTGAAAAGTGTTTATAGGGCACCCTTAGACAGCTTTTCATGCAACAAAACTGGATAGGACTGTTTTGTATTTTAAACCACAAAT